GTAGGGAAATGGCCAAAGCATGTTAGAGCCACTGGAGTTCCCAGGGACGTTAGGTGAGACACAGCCTCTTCCAGCTTCTGGAGAGGTCAAACACATTCCCCCTGGAAAATAAGAGAGGTGTCAAAAGTCTTCAGCATGAATGGGGGCTGTCTACCTCTGTTATAGCATATTAATCCCATATGGCAATGACGTCTACTTGCCTGAACACAGCGTTTAGGAGTTTCTTGCTGGAGCCAAGAGGGGACTTTCCCATGCTCTGGTGGTTGAGACCTGATGTCTAGACCCTTACAGGCTAAATGGATGATTCATCCTCCCAGCTTCTTCTCCGTACGTATTCTGGAAGGAGTCCACAATCCATCGCTGAGTGATTTTCCTCTAGATGTATCTGGAGATATATCCTCTTGTTGCATATATCTGGAGATTTTGTATGCAGTGCTGGAGGTGGGACGGATTAGATGGTTTAGAGAAGGTGAAACTGGGAGAGGTCATGACTGGCATAGACACAGTAAAGAGCAGATTAGGAAGCCCCTGTGGACACAAGGCCACGCTAACTGGTGGAACTCGCTGCTGCTTGATGGGTGCCTGGCACGACTCTTGCAATAACACGACACTGCACTCCCCAGCCAGGTCACTGACAGACAGCCTCAAAAACAACCGTTTAAATTCTGGGAAGGGTAAGGAGGTGGCAAACTGGGGCGGATAAATGACTTAGCTGTGGGTCAGAACCTGGGCTGGGCCAGGGCAGGACCAAGAAGAGAACTGTTTTCCCAGATGCTGTGACTGTACATTGACAGAAAGGCTGCCTCCCCTCCTGCCTTGTAAACTCCTAACAAACAAAAACAGGACTCGATTCCTCCTGCTCTATTCTGCACCCTCTGCCAGCAGCGTGCTCAGTTGGTTTAGATGATCTGGCATCACCCAACTATGCAAACCCTGGCTGAAGGTCGATTTACTCTCTGGGTGCTAAGCAAAAGGGCTGAGCGCTGTTTGCTGGGTGAGGCACAAGCACAACATTTATTTGAAAAATAAGGTTATATATTTTTTGGCCAAGCAAATTGTTTCTTGACAATGCTGGCTGAGCAGTTTTATCAAGTCTTCTCCTATCTTTTCCAAACTTATCAGAAGGCCTAAAATGCAGGATAGCCACTTTAAACAACTCAATCCATCATTTATGCAAGAGATTTCTACTCCTCCAGGATTAAACTGCAGTTTGTTTATTTAAATAATAAATAGCTGGACAATAAAATCGATGGTTTACAATTCTCAAGGGCAGCACCTGCAGTTTTCAAAAGGCTGCAGTTGCATTACGGACTGAATGTAAACACGTAATTCTCCAGTGAGGTTGCCTCTTACAGATGGGAAGAGTAAACCAGATCTGATCCACAATAACTGCTTTGACACGATTTTTATGGTAGGAAACATTACAGACATACATTCAGAGTTAAAGAGAAGTGTTGCTTGTATTATTGCTATGATGCTGTATATGCTACTGGTAATATTAGCTAGCATCCATTATCACCGTCGATAGGAATTAGGGCACATGATATTTCCTATGGCCCAGTAGAAGTTACACCCAGTGTCTGTACCCGGTCTGAAAAACGTCACCAAGGTCCTCTGAATTCACCCCAATTTGCAGCAGCTGGTTCAAAACATTTGATCACACTGGAGAAAGTCTCTGGTGCAGAGAGGCTGGATGAGCTGGTGTTTGAGGACCAGCAGTTCCCTGCTGTGCCCCACATTTCCTTCGTGACCTGGGGCATCTTACACAGCCTCTCCATACCTTTGCCTTGTACAGAT